CCTGCCCCGCTTCCCTTCCTCTGAATCTTCTCTAACAGTCTCCCTGCTACTTTCTTGTCCTTTTGCCTCCCTAGATGCCACGTAGGAGAGAAGACATATAATACTTGAGTTCTTGTGTCTTAGTTCGCTTAACATGATGCTTTCCAGTTCCATCCCTTTTTCTACAGATGATATGTTTTTATTCTTCTTTATGGCTGAATAATACTCCGTGGTGGTTTATATATACACCACATTGTCTTTATCCATTCATGCATTGATGGGCACCAACACTCACTCTGTAACTTGGCCATTGTGAATTGTACTACTATAAACATAAAAATGCAGGTATCTTTATAGTTTGCTGAATTTTGATGCCTCTGAGTATATACCTGGGAGTAGTAGAGCTGATATATGATAGTTCTGTTTTTTTGAGGAGTCTCCATACTGATTTCTGTAGTGGCTGTACTAATTAATATTCCCGTCAACAAGGTGTTTTTTATTTCACCTACATCCTTGCTGGTATTTGTTGTTTTTTATATTCTTGATGATTGCCATTCTGATTGGGTTGAGAATGGAATCTCATTGGGGGGGGGGGGGCACAGTGTTGAGAGTCGGACCAGGGCTTCACACAGGCTGACCAAGCACTGAGCTCCATCCCAGCCCTCAGTGTAGTTTTGATTTGCATTTTCCTGATGGCTAAAGATGCTGAACAATTTTTCACATAATTATTGGCCATTCATACTTTTGAGAAGTGTCTGTTCAGTGCATCTGCTGATTTATTGGGTCGTTTGTTTTTTGGTTCTTTACATATTCTGGATATTAGTCTTCTGTCAGAAGAATAGCTGGCAGAGGTTTCCCCCATTCCCAAGGTTGTCTCTTCACCCTGTTAATTGTTTCCTTTGTTGTGCAGAATGATTTTGATTGGATGCCCTCCTGTTTGTCAGTTCTTTCTACTGTTTCCTGAGCTGTTTGAATCCTAATCAGGAAGTCATTGTCTGTGCCTCTGTCTTAATGGGTTTCTCCTGTTTATTGCTCTTATTTCTTTTCTTATCCGATGTGTCTCTCTTGTTAGAGAAGCAACATTACTCCTCCTCTTTTGTTTTTAATGAAGAACATTTCCTTATAATTATCTTATAGGTGGAAAATTAGAATGTGTGGCATAAATTTATAATTGCTTTTTATAAGACGCATGCATTTATTTTATGCCTAAGCTTGCAAGAGACCTAGTGGATTGTGACATATATGAATCATTCAGTATTATTTTCATCATTATCATTCTGGGAATTGAATCCTGGGAGTACTTTACCACTGAGGTACATCCTCAGTCCCCCCATTTTTTTTAAATGTGAGACAGCATCTCCCTAAATTACCAAGGGCCTTGTAAGTAGTCCAGGCTAGTCTCAAACTTGTGATCAGGATGCTTCAGCCTCCCAAGTAGCCGAGGATTATGGGCGTGTGCCACCACACCCTGCAGTCATCCGCATTATTCAGGGTGAATGAAATGTGAAAAGATTGATGTTGATTTTTGAAAAAAAAAAAAAAAAAAAAGAGGACAAAGGGGGGGAGTTTCATCCTTCATCGCTCCAGCCCTTGATTGAGACTTATTTGTTTGAAGCTGCTGGTTTAGAGATGAAAACTTTGTCATTTCAAACAGTGTAACTTCTTAGCTAGCTCTGATATTTGAGGATAACTTTTGATGTTCATAGTTAAGAAAATTTCGGCTGTTTGTTGCTTACTCCCTTTCGGAAAAGTCAATCATTGTCAATCATCGGCTCTCATGACAGTCAGCAGAGAAGACTTCTGTCCCGAAAGGTGTGGGGGTTTCTCCCCAGCAGCAGCAGTGGACACCAGCCGGGTGTCCTATAATCCAACTCAGTTCTGACACCATCCGCCTGGAGGTAGCCTCTGACCCTACAGTTTCAGGGCTCAGTTCCCAAGACCCCCAGCCTTGTTTAGATGCCATTCTCCAGCCCTGCCTGAGCTGCTGACCCACTGACTGTAAATCAGGGCTCCTACAACCCTCAAGATTTGATTGACTGACTAGAGTAGGCCAGGGAACTCAGGGAAACAGTGATGTCTTCTGGTTGATTATAAAGGATACAGATAAAGGATGTGCACGGGGAGGTGTGTGGAGAGGGGCACAGAGCTTCCACGGCCCCTCCAGGTGTGCCACCCCTCAAGCAGCCTGCAGTGTCCCACTGTTCATACACACTCTGAACATGGTCCTTTGGGGATTTTGTGGAGACTTCCTCGCATGAGCGTGATAGAGTAGGTGGAGAACCCAGCAAGGCCTGTCTGTCCAGCTGCTTCTTGACCTCTGTGCAGCACTCCCCTCTCCAGGGTGCAGGCAGGACCCCGCGGAATGAGGGATGTCTTGGGAGCAGGGTAAATCAGAGAATTTCTTTAAGGCTAGCTCAGAGGCAGAAAGGGAAAATGAGAGTCTGAATGACGCACCTTGGGGAAGACAGATTCTGGTTTTGGGGGCCTTCCTTGGGGAGGGAGGTATGAGCCAGGAGCTGTGGAGGGAAAAGAAACCAGATACATCATAACATCACACACCCGCCCAGTCTTTAGAAGCCACTTGAGAGCAGGTGCGTCTGTGAGTACTCTGCAGGTCAACACCTGTCAACAGTTTTGTCTGTAAGAACTAATATGTTAACTTACTTAGTGATGTTAAACCTCCTTGTAAATTCAGGTGAGCTGACGTCTGCCGATGAGGAAAAAAAGAATTTATTCTGTGACTTCTAGGAACAAAAAAAGGGCAGAATTCTACTTTTTTTTTCATGTGGGGTCCAAAAATAGCATTTTCTTTAAAGTTAGAGAAATCCAGTCTCTTTCCACTAGAATGTTTTAGGTTGGACCCAAATGTCTGAATTTTGTTCAGTATGTAAAAATTCCTGATTACGAGATTTAAAGATCTGCTATGATGAGATGGCCCCAGTTTATGTTTCATTTGTTCTATTCAGAGAAAATTACCACTGCCCCATTAGGGACTTCAGAATCCAGAGGTCAGCTCCCACAAGAAGCTCGGTTGGCTTCTCCATCTGTCCTCTTGGCTTTTCTTGTTCGATGAGTGTCATCCTCTTTGTAATACGATCTAATATTTATTGCCCTTCACTGTGTGTCAGGCATAGACAAAGGGAGGATCATTTCATGTTCTCCTCACAGCGACTGAAAGTAGGTACTGTTGTCATCTGTGTTTTGCAGATAACAAGAGTAGGATTGAAGAGAAGCTAAGTGTCTGGCCCACTCAGGTCTGGAAAGAGATGGCCATGGGCCTGGATTCCAGATTTGTCGGGCCCAGAGCCCGCGCTGTCACCCAGCAGGCTAGGCATGCTTCCCCGGATAGGTCCTGCAGTCCTGAACTTGATACAGCATTCATATTTTCAGCCTCTACAGATCTGGGTTGGAATTTTGGCCCTGCCTCATAGTAGCTGTGTGACCTTGGGTGAATTACTTAAATCCTCCAAACTTCGTCTCTCCACTTGGAAGTCTAGTATAAAATCTGATGGCAATTTCACTTTTCAGGGCACAGGACAGGAAAGGACTGCCATTAATTATTTTGCTCATTTTTTGTGTGTAGGAGCCTGATCTTTCTGAGGATGGTTTTGGGTACGTGAAGCTATTTTTGGGGAGTGGTGAACCCCGCCAGCTTGGTCTAGGGTGGTGTGCCCAGGTGGACCCTCCATCCTTTCCTGTGCTCTTCGCGTCTCTTTTGGAGGCAACTTGGTGTGTTAGTGGCCTTCTTTGCAAGCAAGTTGAGGCGTTAGTGCTGGCCTTTGTGTGTGTGTGTGTGTGCCCGTGCGAGCACCTGTGTGATGCCGGGGATTGAACCCAGGGCCTCACACGTACCAGGCAAGTGCTCTACCACTGAGCTACGTCCCCCAGCCCTAGTGCTGCTGGCCTTCTGGGATTCAAGGGGGTCCAGTAGACAGTGGGTCTCTTGCCATTTTCCAAATGAGTGGAGAAGTTGCCAAGAGTTAGGCAGAGGGAGAGCTTTACTACTGACACATTTGATATTGGAGAGAGGTAAAAGACAAAGATGATAGACAAGATTGGATTTCTAGGAGAAAGGATAGAGGAAAGGAGCTTTTTAAAAAAACAAAAATGATATAAGGGCTTCGGAACTGGTTCTTTCTGTTCTCTGCATTGGGATTGGTGTCTGGGGCCACACCAGCTTGGGCAGGGACTACTTATTGTGAGGAGAAAATGAGGAGATTATATTTTGGAACGCTCGTTTGAGAGCCGAATGGGCGTTACCTTTAAGAGCTTCATGCATTTGGATTATGTGCCTTTAAATATGTCACATGGCAGTTGATATTTTCTCTGTCTACATACATATGTAATGTCTTTAAATATGTTTATAATAAATTGCATGTCCTTACTGTATTTTTCTTTCATGTTTTTTGATACGTTTTCCTGCTATATTGATTCTTGGCCTTTGATTCGGAAAGGAAATTAGGTCGCTGTAATGATTAACAACTGCTGAAAACTGTGACTTGTCATGTGAGATTTTGTGATTGGACTTAAAGATACAAACCTAGTAATGGTTTCAGCCTTCAAGAGCTGGCCCTGCCAAGCCACTGTGGCCTTTCCCTCCTACAAGTAGTCTGACACGTTTAGAGGCCAGAGTCCCCTCTCAAACCCACCCTATGTGTATGCCTTTTCTTGATTCAGGGTTTATGAAAATCACCATGTTTGTCTGATTTCATCCAGAGCGAAGCCTATTAAAAGTTAAATCCATTCCCATTTCTGTCTGAATGCTGACAAGATCTAGACATTTGGTATGAAGTTACAATAACCATAATCTAACAGCCTCTTAAAATTTGCAGTGCTAGAATTATACTAGACTTTGAATAATTCAGTTTTCTCATTTAAAATCTGGTTCGGATTCACCTCTGAGAGAGTAAAATTACATCTCATGCACCAAGTCACTGGCAGTACACACTCTTAACACAGCAGCCAAACTTTAAAATTATAGCAAAAGTTAATCTCTCTTTTCTCTTCTTTTTTTTTTTTAGTTTCTCAGAAAAACTGTTCAGTGGAAAAGGTTTACATTTTCAGCCTTCAGTTCTAGATTTTGGAATACAGTAAGTATGTTTTCTTTATAATTGATAAAAGCTAATTTATACTATTTATTTTCAGTATGTCTTTTATATTACATATATACACATGTTAATTATAAGTATATCAATAATATGAAGAGAGATTGATCCTGGAACTTTTTTTAAAGGAGTGTTTTCATGAAAGCAGAACTTAAAGAGTTGTCTTAGTAGTTTCTTTTTTAATGTTGCTGCGTGTTGAACCCAGGTCTTGTGCATGCTAGGCAAGTACTCTACCACTGAATTATACCCTACCTTCTCTTTCTTCAGTTTTTTTAAAAAAAACTTATTTTTTATTAGATCTTTTTTTTTTTGGAGGGATACCAGGGATTGAAGTCAGGGACACTTGACCACTGAGCCACATTCCCAGCCTTATTTTGTATTTTACTTAGAGACGGGGTCTCACTGAGTTGCTTAGTGCCTCCATTTTGCTGAGGTTGGATTTGAACTTGCGATTCTCCTGCCTCAGCCTCCCTTCGTGGACGTGCCACCACGCCTGGCTTTTTATTAGATCTTTATAGTTATACATAGTAGTTGGGTTCATCCCAACAAACTCAAACATGCATTGAAGTCATTTTCCCTTTATGATTGCCCCTTTTCCTTCCCGACCCCCACCCGCTTTCTTTGGTTTTTAGTAAAAATATCTTGTATTATTTTGTAAAATTAAAAATTTAGTGAGAACTCAATGTAGTAAGCATTTGTTTTTCTGAAACAAATAAGGTTATTTTATAATGAAAAGCTTTCAGAAGGCAGGCATTGTTGATGGTTTCTGAACCCTTTTAAACTATATTCAGGTGTTTATTTGTTTTGCCTTGGGACTCCAAGTTGCACTGTAATAACCTTTATTAGGGGAAGAGTGGGTATAAGCCATAATGATGTCTGGTGTTTCTTGTTCAGACCCGCAAAGTGAAGGAGATGTGATCTGAGGGGTTGGTTGAGGGCCTAACCTGGGAGTTTGGAGATATTAAGGAGGAGGAGGGTAAGCTGTGGAGGCACTTAAAGGATTCTTGTTGTCTGTGATGAACAGTTGGAAACTGAAGTGTTACAAAGCTTCCTGGGTGCAGGGTATGGCAGCCCTGCACAGATGCAGCTTTAAGTCAGGGTAGGAACAGTGTCTGGGGTGTGAGAACTCTGCTTATTTCAGCAGCCCGGGTCCACCACTTCATTTTATGAAGAGCTTTTTTGAGGCATAGGCCAAGTGAGGGGGGTGAAGAGCCACCTGATAGGTGAGCACCTGAGGCAGGGGTGGTGTGGTCGCCTGGGTTCCTGCCTGCATTCACCCGGATTCCTTCCCTCCATTTCCTCTGATCATCCAAACGTTTTTAGCGCTGCAGTGAAGGAGAGTGTGCCTGAGACTTAAAATACCTTGTTGAGCATTGTAAGGGAGATTCTGTGAAAGGCAGAAAAGAGAAAACGGTGAAGAGAGTTTTCTGACTTTTCAAGATTTTATATGCCTGCTTGTTTTTTAAAAAATCATTGTAATTTATACTTATGTAAAGAAATTTATTAGAAATTGAATTTATAGAAATTTAGCTGATGTTATAATAAGCTCACTAATTTCGTATTTTCAGAGAATGCTTTTGTGCAAAGTCTTTACTTTGAAGAAGAAATATAGGACTTCTCTGAAGAGTATATATTATAGATTGGGAGACATAATAAAATGAATGGTAGTGTAGCTATATTAGAAGAACAATTCCAGTTCATAGGATCCTAATGTAATATATTTAGTCCCATAAAAAATGTGTTCAATAGCCTAGAAGTTCCATAATCAATGCACGTGTGATCTATATAGATCAGCCACACTTGTTTTAATTAACCATATCCGTTAGTTAATGGTCCTGGTAGCTAGAAGCATGTTGAAAATATGTTTAAGGTCTTTGATTTGAAAGGATTGCCAGTGTTTGTATATTAATCATCTTTAGGTGATGCAGTTATGTTTATGGTTTTTAAAGTATAACCATTTTTCTTGTCATTTGAGTTTTATATGAATCTTGCAGGCAGGCATTGTCTGAATGTATCCTTTTCAAATATCTCTGTATTTGTGCCTGTGCCACGAATGTGTTTGTTGTTGAGAAGCAATAGTCTGCTCAAGGTCATTTTTTACTGGAAATGGAGAAATAAGTCTTCTGATTTCAAGCCAGCACTCATTTCATTTTTCATATTAGTAAGATGCAGGCTGTGATTGTGGGAATATTGTATTTTGCTTGAAGTTAAAGAATTTCAATCAGAACAAACTTCTTGGGCTGGGCTAGGGCTGTAGCTCAGTGGTGGAGCACTTCCCTTGCCTGTGTGAGGCCCTGGGTTGAATCCTCAGCACCACATTCAAAAATAATAATAATAAAATAAAGGCATTCATCCATCTATAACTACCAAGAAAAACAAAACAAAAAAACCCTAGTCTAAATTCGAACACATTTAAAGTGAGTCAGGTTTTACCTTCTTCCCAACAGCATAAATTATAGTCGTTAGAATAAAACTTTAGCTGGAGAGTTCTCTTCCTTGTTTCTTTACTGCCCTAGTTCAGCTTTTGCTTTTGTTTATTTTGATGTTGATGTTGACCTTGTCCCTTCTTAAAGCTTTGGTTTTCCTCTGGGATTCAGAAGCAGAATGGTGTTACTCATTTGCCTTCTGCCTGCTTCTTAGGGCTTGTTTTAAGGGTTAATATTCTGCTGGTCCTAAGAATTAAAAGTGCTAATCATTCTTAAGGGATTTCAGTCATTCTTTTGTAGTATTAAATTAATAGAGTATCTTCCAGTTGTCACTACTGAAGGAAATTCATATCCTCACAACACTTTTAAAAATAGAATAAAAAATAGAATAAAAATAGCAGCACAGTGGTGGTGAGATTCCAGCCGGCATTCTCTGTCTGCTGAGGCTTCTGGTGGGTGCAGGCACTAAGCGCCGTGGCGGGACTGTTTTGCAGTCTTAATTTCTAATGTGTTTTTCTGGTAGACATTTGCATTCTTTGAAACCAAAATCTTGAGTTTCAATTATGTGAATAATATATAAAACTTTGAGGAGAACTATGAATAATTTTGCTGACTGATGCATATTATTTACTTAAAATCTAAAACCATGGAAATCCTTATTTACTTGATTTAATCACAGGGAGAAATGCCAATATAGGCTCAATACTCTGAGATAGGGCTTTCAGAGGTGACCCTTTATGGTAGGGTAAAAGGGGGAAAAATTTAAGTTGTATTATTTAAGAACACCCAAAGAATCAAGGTTTTAGTCCTGACACTCAGGTGCATTTTATATATAACTGAAGGTAAAAACTTATGTTTTAAAATGAACATTTGATGCAATAAGTCTTTCATTAAGATTACTGATTAAAAATAGGAGTGAAAGCTTGAAGAAAAATTCCAAAGATTTGATATTAGTAATACAGTATTTTAGAAATCCCGAGGATTCAATCCAGTGCCTCACACATGAGGCACATGAGATAAACATCATGCATTTAATTTTCCTAAATAACACAGTTTTAATATTGGAGAAGTTGGAAGAAAATCAGAGAAATATGTAAGCATAATGACTTTGAATTTTTTGCTTAGATGAAGTATCATTTTATTTCTGGGCCATCCTAATGGGAGTCTCTGACACTGAAAAATGACAGCAATGAACTTTTTCCATTATAACCTAACTGAACTGGAGGGAGCTTGGAGTTGGATAGTAGGAATCAGAGTTAAATTAGGGAAAGTGGGCGGTGGGTCCAGGGGGTGGGCCAGAGACCTTTGCCCTCTTGTGGTTCCTTTCTTGAACCCATGTTGGGGGGGGGGCTGGGGGGGATGAGCACTGCTGAAAAAGAGCTGATGTGAAGACTTGGTCAGTGGTGGATTCACTACAGAGCCGGAATCCTCACTGGGAGACTGATAGAAAGTTGTGAAATTATGCATTAAACCTTTTTGTTTGTCCTTTTGGAGGAGGGTGGAGCCAAAGCTCTCATTGGAGTGTTCTAAAAGGCTCATAATTTAAGTGGGTAAGAACCAGTACTGTAAAGTGCTGCAGGGTTTTCATTTTTTCAGAAGACCAGCTATAAGCAATAATTAAAATTTTATTTTATAAGACCTAATAAAATAGTCTTTTTGTGAGTTGACAATGCAATCCCCCAAAAAAGCCTCTTTAAATTTATTACTTGCAGAACAAACCTAAGAAAATAGGGGTTTTCTATGAATACGGTTTCTTACCTAACCATACTTCATTTGAATGAGAGACCCTGGACTGAGAAATGCTTTTATGTGCCAAGTGTGTTTTTTTTTTAAAACAAGCATTTAATGACCTAGATGGGTTGGACTCTTCCAACAGAAACCAGTGGGATATTACTGTGGGTTGACCTACCGCAAAGTTTTGTTTCTATATGATTTTTTTTTTAACTATTGTGAATTGAATATTTTATTACTGACAGAATTCAATCATTGTCCTTAACTTTGTAGTAAACATCAACAACTTTCTGTGTTTAAAAATGTGTGGGCTGGGAGGGGGTAGCTCAGTGGTAGAGCATGTGCTTTGCATGTGTGAGGCCCTGGGTTCCACCCCCAGCAGCAAAAAAAAATTTTTTTAATTATGCATATATGTATAAAAATATAATTATGTATATGCATCTGTGTAGGAATATGGATAACCATACGATGCATCGCTTTTTCTCTTTGTTTACCCTCAGATTCCTGGGGCATCCTGCAGCAAAGATTCTCCATGCTTACAACCCTAGTAGGGACAGTGAGGTGGTGGTGAACTCAGTGTTTACAGCTGCTAGACATTTCCATGTGCCTCCTGTTCATTGCAGGGTGAGTGTTGATGTGCTCCTGGAAACTGCTCTGTGGCAGGCTGCCAGCTTCTCTTGCTTTCTTTGGCCTCAAGTTTTAACTTTCTGCTCCCTGTCTCCCCTTTTTCTGCTACCCAAACTTTTTCCTTCTGTGTGTTTGCTTTAGCATGTATTTTTGCAGTTGTTCAACAATTTCCTGATTTTGGTGGCTCTGCATACTTCCAGTGGAGGGGGCGGGGGTTGTTTAAAGAAACCAGGGAGTAACATGACTTTCTCTTGATTAAAGAAAGATTGTTATTTGTCTTGAAATTTCGACAAATACTGAGACATTTAGTAACATAGATTTATAGTCATGACCTTCCCCCCTTCTCAAACCCACTAAGAAAGGTAGAACTTCTTCCTAAATGTAAGATTAAAAGATAGCAGATAGCTCCTTATAAAGCTCACTTACACTATAACACAAACCTCAAAAACCTAATCCTCTAATTTTTTTTTAGTGATTTTTAACTTTTAATGAAGAATCTAATTGCTAGTAAGTTTTTACTTGTTTGCTTACTCTGTCTACTCAAAATTAGGAATTTTTTTTTTTTCTCCAAAATACTGGAATTAAAGAAACTAAATTAAAGGGGAAGCCCAGTGCTTGGCTTATGGCAGTTTGACCAGGTAAAGATTGTCCCTGATTTTTATCACAACGGTGTGTTTGTACAGTAGCCATTCTCTGTAGATAGTTAAGCATGTGGATGTATAAGAGAAGGAAAAGGGAAAGTGTGAGACCTGTGACTCCAAACTCTCTTGCTCTAAGTCCTCAGTATGTTCTTAGGTTGTTGGATGTTGGTCTGTTTGGGGATGCTCAGGGATTCATGATACTGATAAGTCAAGGTAATGGAAGTTGTCAAAAGCCTGTGAAAAACAAGTTATCAAACAAGATCATTCCAAATGGCTAATTAGGGTGGGTGCCTTTCTTTCAGGTAATTCCAGCAATGGGGAAAACTTCCTTCAGAATTATTTTCTTACCTACCGAAGAAGGAAGCATCGAAAGTTCTTTATTTATTAATACCTCTTCATATGGAGTCCTTTCCTATCATGTAAGTAACTTTTTCTTTGCCACATAATTTGGTTGTCAACTTAACTAGAGTGATATGGATATTTTCCAAGAGGCTTTTGGAAACTTTGCCACCTGATTTATGTCATCAAAATACAAGTGTATTAGTGATGTTAAGTTCATCAGCTTCCACCTTCTTGCCTTGCTTGCCAAGGTTGACTGTCCTTAGGACAGCTACAGAACTGGAACCCTCTGTGGATCTTTGAAGGGCATGGATGAAATCTACTATACCTAGTTTTCTGTATAAAATGCATCAGGCTCTCATCGCACCAGCAGGTCAGAGGGAGGGACCTCTGAGGGTGACTCTGGTGGCTTTGCCTGTCTCGTCCTTGGCTTCAGGATATTACAAGTTGGGAGACCTTTGTGTGTACTTGCAGGTTTGTTCCCACTGAGCACGATGTTCACACCACTATTCACACCAAGGTATTAGGAAGGGTGCATGAAGAGTCCTGTGGCTGTTCATAGGCATGGTGAGGAATTTTCACCTCTAGTAGAGTACCTGTGACATCTTTAACAGGTTGTAGCTTCAGGTAACCTAAGTGGTTCTTATCATTTCTATGGAACATGTGATATCACATCAAAAGAGTTGTCTACTTGTAAAAAGACTTTCTTATAAGGAGGAACAATCAATTTAAACATAACATTAAATACAACATTTATTGTGTTTTGTGGGGTTTTGTTTTGGGGAGAGATACTAGGGATTGAACCCAGGGGCACTTAACCCCTGAGCCACATCCCCAACCCTTTTTTATTTATTTATTTTTGGAGACAGGGTCTCACCAAGTTGCTGAGGGCCTGGCTGAGTTGCTGAGGCTGGCTTTGAACTTGTGATCCTCCTGCCTCAGCCTCTGAATTCCTGGGATTACAGGCGTGCCCTGCTCTTTTTTTTTTGTAGATAAATATAAACATAATAATTGGATTAGTCTTAAAGACCATGGTGATGAATATAGATTTCCTTTGAGGAGGTATTTTAGCATTATGACCAGTGTGTTTTTCAAGTGTAACAAAGGAGGGCTTCTCTCTCTCTCTTTCTGCAGGTTTCTGGAATTGGCACTCGCAGAATCTCTACTGAAGGGTCTGCAGAGCAGCTATCAAATGCGTATTTTCTGCTGCCACAGGTCCAGAGCATTCAGCTTTCACAAACACAGGTCATTTTAAAAGATTCACTTTGAACAAGCTTTGTAGCCTTCTCCACTTATACGTCTTTGACAGCCAGAGTATGTGTGTGTGTGTATATATATATATGTTTTTTACATAATCAGATTCAAGTTTTTACTATTTTCTGCTTTTTGAATGGTCCTTAAATATGGAAATAATGTATATATAGGTAAAGTGTCAGTGGACTGAATCCACATACTATGCTACCATTTTTTTTTTCTTCTTTTTTGCAACATTGGGGATTAAACCGAGGTTCTTGCACATGCTAGACAAATGCTCTACCGTGAGCTCCATCCCCAGCCCTATACACTCTTTTTCATGACTGGGTTGATATTCTGCAGTTTGCTTAATAATGTTGATGGCCGTTTGAAAGGTTTCCAGTTTTGATAATTATTACCATTAAGCCATGTACCTAAGTTTCTTTATTTCCCTTTTGGATCATCTGTTTCCTTGGGGCATATTTCATAGAGAAGAGCGATTCTGTAGTTGGACTATGAACTGTTTTATAGAGCTTGTTAAATCTTGCTGGTTGCTTTTCAGGAAGACAGCCACCAGGGTCAGCAGAAATGACGTGCCTGCAGACTGTCTTGCTGTCTCCTTCCCAGCCCTGCATTAGGCCTGCCTGGATGTGGCTGAGTGGAAAGAAACAGTTTTGATATTTTAGTAGGCACTTAATGAAAACTTAAAATTCTTTTACTATGTATTTCACTGGTAGCTTATAGTACTAGACACTGTTTTTCTTTGACTATATTTCCTTGTAAAAATGTATAACATTTGAAATTGAAAAAAAAAAACTTTGGAACTAATATATTATGAACCTTACCTACCCTTTCTTTCTGATTGGCAAATAAAAAGCATTGCTCAGAAATTATTGTGAGTAATGCCAGTACCAGAGGCTTTTAGTCATTCACCAGTTTTATTGAGCCTCGGCAGTGTGCTAGGCTTTGGGAGCTTACATTGTAGTGGTGGAGGCTAACATAGTTAAGTCACCTGTAATGTCGTTTCTGGAAGCTTCATAACCAAACAGATGATTGATGGGGATTTTTAATCTTATTTTAATATTAATAACATCCTTCCATGATCTTAAACAAAATTTTTTTTTCTTTCCCCCTTGTTTTGAGATGGAGTCTTACTAGGTTACTTAGGCTGCCTCAAACTCCTTGGACTCAAGAGAATCCCCTTCCTTAGCCTTGTGAGTAGCTAGGGTTCCAGGCACATGCCACCGCACTTGGCTTACGGCGTAATTCTTTTAATTTACAGATTTGGATTTGGTTAAGTCCTAAAGCCAGTGGGGGGATGTATTGAAAGATTATAAGCATTATACATTATAATGTGATTTGACTCATGTTTTTAGAAAAGGGGTTGGAAAGGGCTAGAGTAAGTTGAATCTCCACATGATGGCTGCGTAAGCTTCAGCAAGTGAACAGTTTTAGCCCTGTCTTGGGGCTGTTCTTCAGCATAGGGGGTAGCTAAGAATGACCAGATTTCTCTGGTGATGGACAGTTATTTGGATTTTTGAGTGCCGGATGCCCTGTTAGTGGTGTCTTAAGTATTGAAGTGGAGACGAGTGTACAGATTACCTTAGTAGGGGTTAATTGAAGAGTATGTGGAATGGAGGGGGAAGGGAAGCTGACCCTGCAGGACTCAGGAGAACTGGAGCAGCTTGCCCCTGATCTACTCTACCTGGCAGATTGTTTGCTTCCGGTGGTGCCCCCTGCCTTTTCCAGGCCAACCATAACGGCCCCTTATCTGCTCTGCCAGTGTATTCTTTGGCCCTATCCTGTGTCTCTCCCTAAAGTGCATTTCTGTAGGTCTTCCTGTGGCTCTAAAGCATGTGTGTGGCGGGGAGGTGGGGGGCTGGCTGCTTCTTGCAAGGCCCTTCCTGTAGTGGGGTCTTGCACCCAGGGCCCTGGTGTGTGCCAGGCGTATGCTCTACCACTGGAGCCACCTGCAGGCCCTGGTTGCTGTCCCTTCAGCCCGGTTGCACACCAGTCCCTTGCTTCTTACCTTACATCTCACTAGCCATCCTCTGCTGGTGTGCACGTGAATTGCCCTTCTGCCACCGGCCTTTGAATCTGTGGTTTCCTCAAATCCCCTCCCTCCTTTTCTCCAATTTTACCCTTATTTCATTGTCCCTTTTTCAGCTCAGGCGTGAGGTTTTCAGGGACTCGTACAGCACAAGTGCTTTGTCAAGGTGTCCTAGACCTGTGTTCTTTCCCCTTAGAAGACTTATCTCCCTTTGGTAATCACGCGCCCACATGATGTGATTACTGCTCTTTGCTTCACTCCTGGGCCATCTGATTCCGCCTTGGGCTCCCCTGGGCCTCACCCAGTAGGTGTGGGCCCCAAGGTCACTCTGTGGTTATCTGCAGGGGAACAGCTTTTTGCTCCCTGCCCTGTGGCCTGCCTTGCTGGCTGATGACTTGGCTTTTTTAAATCTGTGTTTCTGCTTTAGCAGAAGCAGGTTGAGCATCCCTAAACAAAAAATCTGAAATCCAGAGTGCTTCGAAATCTGAATTTTGTTTTGAGTGCCAGCCTGAGGCTACAGTGGAAAAGTCCACAAAACTCATGTGCACTAAAAATATTGTGTGGAATTATGTAAGGTATATACATATGAAACATAAATGAATTCTGTGTTTAGACTTGGATCTGGTCCCCAAGATATCTTATCATGGATATGAGAATATTCCAAAATCTGGAAAGAGCCCTAATCCCAAACACATCTGGTCCAAAGCTTGTTAGATAGGGAAATTTAACTTGTACCAAACTCTTCATTTCTTTTTTGCATTTTATTTTATTTTTAACAACCTTATTGAGACATAATTCACACACCATAAAATCCACCCATTTAAAGACTACGAGTGGTTTTTCAGTATATTTGCAGAGTTGTGCAATTATCGCCACTGTCGAACTTTAGAACGTTTTCATTGCCTCAGTCCCTGGCAACCACTAATTTATTTTTTTTTGTCTCTGTGAATTTGTCTGTTCTGGACATTTCATATAAAGGAAATGTGTGATCTTTTGGGATTAGCTTTCATCCATGTTTTTCATCCTTTTTTTTGCCAAACATGATTATTGTATAGACATACATATTTTGTTTAACCATTCATCATCTGGTGGACACTTGGTTGCTTTCTACTTTGGGGCTATTCCAAATATGTTGCTTTGAACATTTATTTGTAAATTCATCTGGACATGTCTTTTTTATTCTCTTGGGTGTATTCTTAGCAGTGGAATTTTGCTGGGTTGTGCATTTTTAGGAACTATCAAACTGTTTTCTGAAATGTGTACATCATTTACAATCCTACCAGCAACGTGTGAGGTTTCCGGTTTTTCTACAACTTTGCCAGCACTTTTTATCTTCTGTTTTTGTTGCTGTGCTAAGAGTTGAACCTAGGGCTTCACACATATTAGCCAAGCCCTCTACCACAGAGGTACATCCCCAGCACAGTTTTTTTCTTTTTTTAAACATTTTTTTTTAATAGTCATTCTGGTGAGCATGAAGCTGGTGGCTCATGTGGGTTAGATTAGCATTCCCAGTGGCTAATGACATTGACCTTTTTCATGTGTTCTTTGACCATTTACGCATCTTCTTTGAGGTGTCTGTTCATATCCTTTGCCCATTTTTAAATTGTGTTTTCTATTGTTAAGAAGTAAGAATTTTTTATCCTGGATATTGGACCTTTATCAAATACATGATATTCAAATATTTTCTCCCATTTTGTAGGTTGTGTTTTCATTTTCTTGATAGTATCCGTTGAAGGACAAAAGGCTTAAATTTTGATGAAGTTCAGTTTGTCTGTTTTTTTCTTTGGTTACTTTTATTTTTAGTATCATATCTAGAAAACCCAAGGTTATGAAGATTTACTCCTGTGTTTTCCTGTAAGAGTTTTATAGTTTATATTTAGGTTTGTGACCCTCTTAGACTTTAAATTTTAGTAAGTGGTGTGAGGTAGGGATCCATATTCATTGTTTTGCACATCAATACCAATAGTCATGGCACCATTTTTGAATAAGAGAATTCTTCTCCCCCATGAATTTTCTTGGTGATCTTTATTGGCCCCTGTCATCCTTTGCTCCATTCCTAGCTGTCGATTTTGTCCTTCATTTTTCATGATGCCAGGATTTATGGGTTAAGTCGTTTTCTAAGGCTGACTCTAGGGACATTGCTGTATATCATCCTTCAGTCAACAAATCGTTACTGAACATTATTTCTTAAGTATGCCAATAAATGATAGGGCATAAACACAACAGTGTCCCTGCTCCTGTGATGTTACAGTGTAGACTACATTTCTGAATTTCAAGGTAAAACTCAACTTTTTGGACCAATCTTTTGTTAGAAGCTAGCATTTAAAAATTAGAAACTAATATTTGAAAAATTTAAAAATGTCTCTTAGAAAGTAATTATCTCAATTTCTTGCATTTTAATTATGATAGAGAAAACATAAATTTTAAGTCTTTTAAGCTTTCTTGTCCCTAAAAACATAAACCTATAAGATTTAAACTTAAGAAATAATGATGACCTTCTTTAAAAAAATCCCAACTATAATATTTTCTGCATCTAAATTGCATACTTCCTAGTGTTTCTTGCTGTTTAACGTGGCAGTAAGGTTAAGTAATTTGAAAGTATTTGCAGTGAAACAGTGGGATTATGTAATTTTTTGGGGTTGGTTTGTTTGTGTTGTTTTTTTGGTACATAGGTAAAAAGTGCAGGATGGTTATGTGTTCAGGTCTGCCTTGCGTTTAGTTCTAAACTGAGTAAGATTTTAGTGTATTCATTGAGTATTAAAAATTTTAAAATAATCTGACTTAAATATAGTCAGAAGAATAAAAAGTATCCGTGAACAGAGTTTGAAAAAGTAAAGCCTCCAAAATTTGCAGGTGTTGTTTGACTCTTCCATCTGTCAAATACAGATCAGAGACGCACACACAGCAGGAATATTTCATAACACTATGAGCATGGATGAGAAAATGGCAGATGTGCTTGATG